CACAAGCAGAGACAGGGTGAGCGGAAACCATCTGCTTTTCGTCATTCTAAAATCTACTGCAAATTTTTATCCTCACTGTAGCCCTCTACAGACAATTTTAAAAAGCAAGAACAAATATCTGGTTGCTAACGGTTCCTTGCGAGCCCTACGGTGCTTCCCCCAGAGCCTATCGCTGTTACCACCTCTGATGCCCAGAGACACAGCGGCACCAAAAGCACGGCACCAGCCCGAGCGAGTCACCGCCGAGCCCCTCATCAGTTCCAGTTCTCATCTCTGTGTTCTCCATCCCCGGGTTGCGATGCTGCCACCGCCACGGCCACGCGTCGCCCCATCTGCCCGCTCCTCCTGCCGCCCACGCTCCCACAAAGGTTATGCCAAGCAGAGTCAGACGAGGCTCTACACCCACCTCTTATTTATCCAGCCTACAAATCCCAACCCCATCCTTCAGGGAGGGGCACCAAGTTTTTCAATACTTTTTTTAACAACAGTATTTTGAAATTTTAAAAAAAAGGGATGGGGAGAGGGAGGGGAACATCATCAAAGGGTGGTGGTTCTCCTGGTGCAGTCTCTGCTTCTTCTTTCCCTCTTCTTTTGCAGGGTGTGAGTTAAACCTCCCCTGGGTTGTGAATCTCAGATTCTCCTTCCCAGGAGCTTATCGCCCCTTTGCAGGCAAAGTATGGAAATGACGATTTAAGATATCTTATAATGGGGCTAATCTTTCTTCTGAAGATAAGATTTTAAAACCTGGAGTCACTGCACATTTATAGGATGGGGAATTAAATATATAAAAAGCAGCCAGCAGGTTCTGGGAAGAATAACGTTCTTATAAGCGTGGTTTTCGTTCAGGTACAGCCCTGCGCATGCCGTGCATTTCTCCCGCAGCCCCATGCCGTTTGCTAGCACCTAACTGCACAGCACCGTCCCCGCACCGCCGGCCTCCTCGCTGCTTTGCACCGGCATTTGCAGCTGAGCAGGGACCACAAGCACAACCAGGAGCCACACGTCCCTGCCCGCAGCCCAGCAGCACCTGGAGCCGAGCGCCGGCACCGGGATGGGGCTTCTGACCGGCACTGGAGTCACCCGGTGATGGATGCGTGCCGCTGGGCACCGGTGCCAGCACCCAAGGGTTTTGGCCACGTGAGCAGCGGGCTCTTACCAACGTTGGCAAGGCAGAGGTGGAGGTGGCCCCTCACCGCCACGCGGACACCGAGGGGCCGCAGGGCACCGTGCCGCAGTGCTTCCCGGCCGATCACCGTCATGTCCGGCTCGTACTCAGTCGTGGCCACCTCCAGCTCGTGGTGGGTCCTGACGGCCGCCCGGCCCTGGCGCAGCAGAGACTGGGGACAAGGTAAGGATGGGTAACGAGTTACTGGGAGTCCAGTCTGGGGGGTTAAGGGGTCTGGGTAAGGATGTGTCTGGATGTCCTAGGTCTGGGGGTTTTAGCCCTAGAATATTGCAGGAGTTTCAGGGAAATGGAAGAAAGTTTAACGTTTTTGCCATCACTTTCAAGGAGAAGATGACAAACCCCACAATTAGGGGCTTGCCAGGCTGCCATCAGTCTCGGTTACACAGAGGGGTTGACAGCAACTCGACTACTAAAGATGTGAGGGTAACGCAACAGCATCTCAACATGGGACCAAAGGAAAAGCCAGGCTCTTCCTTAATCCTCATGCACGCTAAGCAGGGGGTCTCCATCATTAACAGTCCTGAGGACTTAAGGGGAAAGACCTTCAATTTAACTGATACCTCCAGTTTAACAGCAGCAGACCCAACAAGGAGCAGGGAGTCTCCATCCCAGATGTCAATCTGGAGACTGTGCTCGGCCAGGTACCGCACAAACCAGCGCTGCTCCCCGGGTCGCAGGAAAGTGGGATCCACCATGTACTTCAGCTGCAAGCCCGGCGGTCCTGTGAGACATGCGGCTTTGTCGTGGAAATCGAGCTTCCATGTCATATGAGCCGGGACAGGGACTGGAGAAGGCTGCCTGCTCACACCCCCACTCTCCACTTAATGAACCCATCGGTCAATCAGTAAGGTCCGAGATCCTCCAGAACTGGCACCCTCCCAGACCCCCCTTTCATTTCCATTAACAGCTCCACAGAGAGAAGGAACTTCATCAGTCACAAGTGCTCGGTGTCTCTTGGGATTAGAATTTAATAAGACACAGAAAGAAACAAAGAAAAGCGTCCAGCTAGGAGGATCAGAGCCACTCACTCCGGGCGCTCTGCTCTCCTGCGTTGCCTTTTTTTTTTTCCAAAGGCTGCAGTAGGAGCCGGCAGCCTCGATGTGCAAATCGCACCACCGACGTTTAACCAGTATTTTACTTCAAATGCTGGACCTTTTGAATGTTTTTCACGATCTGCCATGCAAACTAGCAGAGGTTTGCTACTAAAGCAGACACCAGCCCATTTCTCAGCCCAGAGGCAAGCCTAAATCCGACTGACGGAAGAGGAGAGGACACATGAGGATGCTAAAACCGGGGCTTACCAGTGCTGAGGGTCCCATCCTTGTTCACCCGCACAAGGAGCGGCGCCGGCACAGCCAGCCTGGTTGCCGGTCCCTTGTCTGTGCTGACCAGCTGCAACCGCGGCGTGGTGACCGGTGGGAAACGGTAGAACTGGAAGGTGAGGAAGATGGTCCTTGGCCACATCCCCTCTGCGTTGTCCTGGGCATCCCTTGAGGGAGAGAGATGAGTCTGAGTTAGCTTATGGTGCGGCGCTGCCTCCCCATCGCGAGCTCCTCAGGCGTTTGGCACACACTGAGAGGCAGAAAAACAAGAGAAGATCGGCAGCATCACAAGTATTTGGATTTCTCTGAAGACACCGGGCATACGGTTTGTCTTGGCTTTCCAAAAAGCTTCATAATTCCAGCTGTCTCCTGCCATATGCTGCGATGGAGGAGCCCAGCAAAGGCAGCGTTTTACCTTTGCACATCATGCTGCCATCCTCAGAAAAAAAAAAAAAACCACAAGTGGGGCCTTATCCAGCCAAAGCCACCCCCATGGGTGCCAACTTTCTCAACTCCATTTGCATTTATGAAGAAACCCCGCATTAACCAGTTTTACATCACATTGTGGTTAATGGATACAATAAACCAAACTGGAATATGATTTAAGAGCGCCCGGAAAGGACAAGAGCATCATCGTAAAACCCTCCGGGGCTTTGCCCCCGTGGCAGGCGCTGGAAGAAGTGGCACCTTAGCAAGGATTTCTTCTGCTCAAGCAGGGAAGCGGGTTGGGGGAGGATTTGGGGAACAGATTCTCCCTCAGAAGGCCCCTGGGATCTGCCTGCACCAGTCACCACAAGGAGCTGCCATCTCACCTGCCGAAAGCCAGGAACTGCAGGATAATTTCATTGCCTTGCAGAGGGTCAGCCTCCTCCAGCTGTGGGTTGAAACTTCCTGGGTCCCCTGGCTCCGAGATTTCCACCGGCTCCTGGTCATGGTCCAGGATCTCCGGGAAGCCGGCGGCGTGCAGGCGTGCCAGGGAGGCACGGGAGAGCACTGTGCGGGAACTGATGGAGAAATGGGGGTGAGTCGCACAGAAGCGGTCACGGGGGACCTTGACGGACCGGGTGGTGGGGGTGCAGGAGCCTGGGGAAGGGCAACCGAGCATCACCTGCCTGCCTGCAGCCCCACGGCAGCGATGGGCACCTGCAGTGGGGTGAAGGGCAGCGCCCGCAACTGGTCACCGGTGCAGGGCTCCGGGTCTGGCGAGCCAAGGTCGGCCTCCAGGTGAGTGATTCCCCCATCCTGCCGAGAGCTACGGCCGAGCGGCACCGGGGCTTGGCCCCTGCCCCACGGCGAGGTCGACAGCTGGGACACTGACAGCTGTTGGGAGAGCGGTGAGGGTGAGCACCCACAGCACCGCACCAAGGGAACAGCCCCCCCGAGACAGCCCACCCTGTGGGAAGCCCCTCGGCGAGGCGGGCCAGCAGCGCCTCCATGCTGAAGCAACTCAGATGCCGTGTGCTTCGGCATCGCCGCTTCGCCGAGGGTTCACACCTCCGCTTCCGATTTAGCTGCTGCACTTCCCCTGGCAAGGGGAGGGATGAGAAAACGCAGCAGGAAAATCAAACTGCTTAATGTGGTCTTATGAAGTATTTCATTTCATCAAAAAATATTTGTGTGCATTGATGCCTGCATCAAGATATAAAAAAAGGCATAAAGAGGGATCTCGGTATTCATAGCTCTCCTTAAATCCCGGTAGCTCCACACGAAGAAACTGTGCGTCACTGTCAGCACATACCAGGAAGAATTGTACCCAGCAAATCTGGGCTGTCAAAACCCAGAACTGCCCTTGCAAACACATTTGGGGTGTGAAAAGAGCTCAGGGAATCTTGCCCAGCATGTTACAGGCAGGATCCATTCTGCTGCCCCAGAGGAGGTAGATTTGAGCAGCACGCTCAGTGCCTCTTGGCCACAGCAGCCAGGAAAACCGGCAGAGGACGGGACCGGGAGCACGTGGGTCATCCCCCGGGAACACCGCTGCCCGCCACCCGCATCCGCTGGCACGCGTGGCACTTACCCCCGGTCCCCGTGGGGAGGCTGCTGTTTGCTGCGGGGCTGGCGGACCTGCGGAGAGGGATGGGAGAGATGCTCTACCACGGCTGCACCCTCCACCACCGAGCCCTTCCCAACCTCACATTGGCCCTTTTAAATTTTGGAGGTGAAACCCGCTCAGCGAGGTAGCTTACCATCGCTCCATCGCTTATTTGACTTACTTTTCCAACAAGACACTTGCCTGGGGGGTAACACAGCACATCTCCAGATCCACCTCTTGTTTTGCTGGGAATTAAGCTAACTCTGCTGCAAAAGGCAGCTCCTCCATCCCCAGACAGTGCCGTGGTTCCCTACGGCCATGCGGCGCTGCCTAAGTGGGATGCTTAATGAGACGTGAAAGTTTTAGGGATACTTAAGGTTTTCGTCGCTCCTCCGTTACTTCTTGTCACTCCCTTCATCTGTTTGTGCATTCGTGCCCTGAAACGCTACGAGCTTTATCGTGTTTATATTTGGCTGCTCGGTTCGCTCACCGGCACAGCTGAGCTCGCTGTGCCGCGGGTCCTTCGGAGCAGACCAGGGGCACAGATGTTCTATCTCTGCATCCACGTGATGCTAAGACCTTATTTTGCTTTCACCATCATGTATATTCCAGCTATTTCATGCCGACTGCTGCGCAAAGGAAACCACCCTGTCTCCCTTATGTCTAAAAGATTATTTTCTTTCAGTTTGGATGGCTTTGGCCAGTGTTAAAGAGATGATGGACAGATCCATCAGGACCGCCGCCAGCTGAGCTGACAGAAGATGCGTTCGGCTTCCCCTGGCCAAAAGAGCCAAACAATGGCACATTTTCCAACAGAGCTCTACAGAAAGTTAACCAAACACTCTTTTTGGCAGCTCGGGGTGCAGGTTGGCTCTCGCACACGGCCGCTCGCCTCGTGGCACAGCTCCAGGACCACCGCTGCACTTCCCAAGCTCTCTCTCGTACCACCAGCCCCCGAGAGCCAGGGAAACACCATGCAGCTCATCCCCTAAAATTGCCCTGCCGGCGCATCTCCCCTCACCGGCTACCCCGCCGGCACTCCAGCACGCTCCCCGCAAGCCCGAGCGTGCCAACCCAGTGCCGGGCTGGAAGCTCACCATCAGCACGAGCTCGCTTCTCCCTTCACCGCACTGCAACTCCCTCAACGTCCTGGCTGCCGCCGACTGAAAGGTGGCGAGGAAAACCTTCCAAGCAGCACCGGGAAGGGACCAGCAGCGATGCGGCCATGCCGCAGAGAGTCTAACCCAGCGCATCCGCAACGTCACCAGACCCCTTCGTTTCATCCACGAAGCTTTTCTGCCGTACAGCCCCTTACACCGGCAAACCCGACTCTTTGCCAGCAGAAAGGCAGGAGTTGTCGTGGCAAAGCCATGGTGCCACTGCCATCTCGTGGAAGGCACAGCAGTACCGGAGCTGGCACGGGAACGGGCATCCACCGCATCGGGTATTGCCTTGACCTGCAAGCTGGCAGCTGCCAGCTCACCAGAGGAGCTGGATAAGCTCATAAAATGTATTTAAACGCTGTCAGGTATCTGCAGCATCGCACCGAGACCTGCGTGGGAACCAGAGCAGGAGCGACGCTGCAGAGGAAAGGGAAGTTTGCTTCCCATCGATCACAAAAGGAGGGATTAGACAGAAACAAGCTGGAGAGGATTTCCAGGAGCCCAGGGCATTGACTCAACCCGGCGCCCAAACCCAAGCCAACAGCAGTTTTCTTTCCACCTCCAACACACACACAGCACTGAAACTCCTGCACTACAGATAGATGCACACGCACACACACGCACATGCAGCCCGGTTTTCCCCACCTAGGCGCCGGCACAGCCCGTGGCCGCCGACTGAACGTGCGCTGCTGTCACACTCCCCGAGCGGCAGCATGACGAGATGATTATTTTTTCCCCCTCAGCCTACAATTGACATCTCTCCCGTCCTCACATCTGGAGGGATTCAGAGCCCAGAGAGATGAGCGGCAGTTCTGGCAGAGAGCAATGTGCTGCTGGTGCAACCGCTGTGCCCGTCCAGCTGTGCCGGGTGCTGAGCACCGGAGCTCAAACACTGTCAGAGCGACCTGAAATGGGAGCGGGCTAGGGCCATGCTGGAAATCCCTGGGGATTTTGCACGTGGCTCAGCGCTACTATCACCGGGGAATTCTGCAAGTTAAAAAGCGAGAGCTGAATTCAACTCGATGGGAATTTAGTTCATTCTGGTAATTCATAAACTAGCTCACTGAAAGTTGTTGAAGTCATGTTTCTCCTCCTGAGCAGACACCAGTACCACACTCTGTATTTTAAATGTCAGCGATCTGGAAAACACTCACTCAGCGACAGCGTAGGAGGCTTCTCCAACTCGTTCCTGTCTTTACATAGGATCTCCGCAGCAGTTACAAGATGTTCTTTTGCATCAGTGGAAACATGGAATTGGACAGTCCCAGACTCCACGTGCTTCCCCTGAAATTGGAAACGAAATCCTTGCAGACAGCGTGTTACACGCAGCCTCCCTCCTACCTCTGAGAGGCGATTCACTTGCCCTGCAGCCGGAGGCAGAGCCAGCAAGGGGTTGTACTTTAATAAGCTGATCAAATACCTCTGTCCTTGCGGAGACAAACACACACACACACACCTGCCAACTCCACCCACCGCCGCCCAGTATAAAGTTTTACTGAGCAAGTTCTGCAGATGCTCATCCATCCATCCATCCATCCATCCCCTCCTCCCTCCCTGCGGCAGGGACCAAGCCATGCAGCTTAGCACCAGAGCCACATTTTGGCCACCCCTTTGTGATTCCTTCACCCCAGCCCTAACCTCCTCCTGCTAAGAAATACTTTGGAGTGAGGTCTTTATCTTTCGCCTGAGCATCACTCAGAATAAGCCAGCTCAGGTCACGGTGGCCTCCGAGAAGTATCGCGATAAATAATTGTGTTGATCAACTCTGTGCCAGCTCAGCCTGCACCTTTGCAGTAACTAAAGTCAAGCAGCACCGGACACCAAGCGCGTTATTTATCAGCATAGATGCTCGCTGGCAGGGGGTGGGAGGCTGTCACCCTCCTCTTCCCCTCTTCCCTCATTCACTCACAGATTTGCAGAGACCTTCTCCATCACCTGGGCACTTACAAAGGTTTCGGCAAAAAGCCTCTCTAACGGCAAGCCTGTCCAAGCACCGGCAGCATCCCCATATATTTGCAAAGCCGAAGCAAGCCCTTACCTGGCGGGAGCTCCTGCTGCTCGGTGGGGTCCGGTAGACCAAGGCTTGGCAGGGGCCACGGTGGGCACCACCGCGCAGGGGCAGGACCACTTCGGCATCGCCGGTGCCCCGGACGGGGCTCCAGACGGCCCAACGCCCCCAGCGCATGTCGGC